CTGCAACACTGAGGCATTTCTAGGAGTAACCCTCAAGCATTCCCATCAAAATTGTGTCCTATAGGAATCCATAAAGCAGGTCGGAGATTTTCAAAGTGAATGGGAAGCACTGATCAAATTCACTTTTCCCCATTATCTCCCAAATCAAAGCATAGCACAGTGCCTTCTGAACAGCCTTCAATACACAGCTGTAGCTCCCAACTTAATTAAACCTCTAATTGGGACTGAAACAAAAGAGGCCTGTGTACACTAAAAATCAGAACATCTGAACTGAGCTATGAAAACCACTGTAGGCAAGAGCTTCTTTCTTCCTTTCATCTCTACCCGAGTATGACTTATTCAGGTTCTCCTGGCACCGTTCAGTGAAGGCCAAAAGACACAACTGTGGTTTGAAATTTCACTCATTTTTTTTCTGCTCTGCATCACAGGCACAACCCAAGACCAGAGGATTTCTTTCTGCAATAGAAACAAGGTTTCTGGAAAACCAGAACAGAGTAAACGATGATTATCACTAACAGGACAAGTTACTTCATGCGCAGACAAAAATCACAAGGATTTATGCTTCTTTGTTTTAAAGGGGCTGTGAAAATTCTTTGATTTCAATGAAGCAAGTGTTTAATTACTTTCCTTTGCTCCTAAACCTGTGAACTTCGGTTTTCAGAACCTTGTTTTTTATGTAAGATTCCTGCAGTCTACATTCATTTGGTGCACAGCCAGCACCACGTATGAAATGCACGCAGACTAGAAAGCATTGAGTCTTAACTCATCAGGAAGTGCAGAGATCCAAATCTGCACAGACATTTTCCAGACTTTTCTTAACACCCAACTTACACTGCAGTAGCTGCAGTGAGTTCCCACTGGCTGGAACGCTTGGGTGAACTCCACTGAGAAGCTATCACTATTTTAACCATCTTAGGAAAGCAAATCCAACCCCAAGGAGAAAAGGTTCCCCTGCATCACCTCTGTGAGTAAGAAAGAGATGTGGGGGACGGCCATCACACCAGGGCAGCTCCCTGAACAGATCACTTCTAACTCATGGATGGCAATGCCAGCACTTCCCCACTGCTCAGGGACAAGCTGTGGTCCCTGCTCTGCTGGGCTGAGGACTCAGACGTCAGCATCTCAGAAGGTGCCGGGTGCATCAGACTCTTGGGACTCTACCAGAATTTATGATAAAAGAAACAACAGACCCGTTGCAATGCAATCTGTGTTACTGGAACTGGCGTGCTGTCACCTCAGAAGATCCCTTACATTCGTACACAAAACTCAAACCCACAGGAAGCAGCAATGCAGCTGTTGCACATCTTCCTTCCAGCAGAGCCAAACCAAGCGGGCAGGACTGTTCATCCTGATATCTATCTGTCCATCAGCAGGAGGATCTCAAAGCATGAATCCAGACATCAATTTGCAGTTGGGACATTTGCCAAATCACAGCCTTAAGCACGGTTTCCTCTATTTATAAAAGCGCTATTTGTACACATTAACATTTCTAGAGCAGAGGGCAGGGCATAAGATGCTACACAAGTGCTATTAATCGTGCACAAACACAGCTCCACACGGGCAGAATGAACCCATGCGCAATGGAACCTGGCCAACGTAATTAAAACTTAATGCCTACTTAACAATCAAATTGCAAACCTGCCAAAGTGCCACATGTTACCAACCTGCCAAAGAAACTGACTGAAGATGCTGTGTTTAAGCAAGGATTGTGGGACCAACTGCTTTGCCCAAGAGATGAAATATCTTTCCTTGGGTTACTGGAGTAAAAGGCGTTCAGAGACACCCCACTTCTTTCGAGGGGTATTTGTCTGAACACACTCATTTCTCCACTGCATGTCTGCGTTGATTACAGATAAATTACTGTCAGGACACTGGAAACTTTACCTGTAAGATGTCTTCATTCAGACTTCTGAAGTTCAGATCTCTGTGACTTCTGTAACTTTTACCTTGTTGCCACAGGGAGAGCCTAAGCTATGCAATACAGATTAGGCAACGTATTTTGTTTTACAGAATGCATTTTCATAACAAATCCTTCCTGTTACCACTTCCGATGGGAAACACATAAAGCAGGCTTGAAAGAATTCTGAACGATTTTACTGAGACTTTTCCGCACCTCACTGACCTATCATCATCTCTATTGTGATGGAGGATAGGAAGTTATTCAGAAGCCCATTTCTGGGCACACAGCAGTTGTAACTGAACTCTACACCATCAACCCTTCCAACAGCTATAAACATAGTTTTCTGTTGAAATCTCACTCTTTTCAGGGCATACAGCTCCATTAATGACAATGGGGCACTCATAAGCCAGACCTGCATAGAGTACAGCAAGGAGTCTCATTATTAGGGGGCAGGGATCACTGGAAGATAAGCACTCACTTCTCAAGCACTTGGTAACAAACGCCTCATTCTCCCTTTTGAAAGAAAAACCTCACAGAGCTATCCTGAAACACCTTAATTACATGGGACCGTGGCAAGAAAGCTTAAAAAGGTTAGAAAGAAAACTAAGCCAGAAAAATACATATTGCTTTATTCACTCTGCCCAATTAAGAACACCCTGTGGGCATTCAATGGCCTTCTTTGTTCATTGTTTGGCCTCCCCACTGTTGTTGACACACACTGGGAAACTACCAAGAAGCAACAGACATTTATTGTTATAATTATATCACATCTCCAGGCCACAATCCAAAACCACGTTAACCTAGGCACGGATGCAATTACTAACAAATCTATTGCTCATAGGCTGGGAGTAAGCTTGTGCTAAGCCCAGGGCCCGGGATGTCACACGTGGCATTTGATCACATTCGGCTATTTTGATGGATGTTGATGGATGCTGTGTGTGGTAACAGGCGGTCTGCAACAGCTCTGAAATGATAGCTCTGATGCCTAACACCTGCGATAGGTGAGCAAGATTACAAGATCCTGATTAATTACCCCTTGCTTTTCCCTCACAGAAACCTGAATTAAAGCACAAAAAGGAAGCACTGCTGCAGTGACACATCTGTGCCTCCATAGGGAGAGGGAAGCGGACGGGAAGGACGGGAGGAGAGCACGAGGGCAGCGGGCACGGCGACGAGGTACGGAGTTTGCGTCTGTTGGACGGCGCTACGATTCCTATCACAAACATTATCTCTGCTTACGGCACAGCCATAAACCCTAAACAAACACCGCCGAGTGTGGGGTTAACAACGAAGGGCACTGACGGTTGTTATAGGAACCGATGCCGTCGGCGCAGCATCACCTGCACCGCACGCTCCAGGAGCAGCAGCTCCGTCCCGCCCTGCGGGGCAGCCCAGAGCACCGCGGCGTCGCCTCCGCATCTTAGCACGGCCCGAGGCCAAGCCTCCCCTCAGCGTTCCGCAACAACAACTTTCCTTTCCCCGCCGCATCGCTTCCCGCCCCGCTACCGGCCGCACCGATCGCGGGGCCGCCCTCGGAACGCTCCCGGCTCCCGCGGGGCTCCAGCCGGCAGCGCCGAGCGGAACCGCCTGCGGGCACGGCCCGGCCGCGCGGCCCGAGCCGAGGCGGGGAGGCCGCGGGACGGGGGAAGCCCCGAGCCGGCCCGGCGGCACCCGGCAGCCCCGACGGGAGAAGGGAGCGACGGGCCAGCGCGCGGGGGGACAAAGCGCCGGGAAGGAGGGAGGGGAGGGTGGGGGGAGGCTCGGCTACCTGGATCCGCTTCCTGTGCCGCCGCCGCTCCGCCATGTTGTCCCCGTCTGCTCCGCGGTGACGTGGGCCGGGCGGCGGCGGAGGCCTCGCGAGAGGCGGCGGGAGGAGGGGAGGCCGCGCCCTTCGGCGCCGCGCGGCGGCGGGAGCGGGGCGGTGATGGGGGCGGTGATGGGGGCGGTGATGGGGCTGCGCTCCGCCACGCGGCTCTCGCCGCCCGTCCGTCGCCGCCGCGCTTCCCTCCCTCGGGGCCGTTCCTTCGCACCGCGGAGCGACGTGCAGCCGCTGGCAGCCACGTGCCGCTCCCGCCTCGTTGCCGCCCTTGGAGCTGCTTGGCGCGAGGTGCGGTCCCGTGCACGAAGCGGCCCTTAGGAGAGAAAAAGGCTTTGTGTCGGGGCGGCCCCGCGTGCTTTCGCCGTGAGGTCACGGCAGTTAGTGAAGCGTGTGGCGATTTGTCCTGGCTCCGTGTTCCCGATCCGTGCCGTGGCACTTTGGGATGGAAAAGTACGGGCCTTGTGGCGGTGGAAGCTGTGAGATGAAAACGAGGTAATTAAAAACCCGACATCGCTTCCAGAATTTGCCCTGAATCACCGTGCCAGTGCTGTTTTTGGTACTCCATCTCCCGGGCGCTTTCCCGGTGCTGTTGCTGGGCAGAACGGTTACACAAGTTACAAATTAAGCTGTCTGACTGCAGGGAGAACTATAAAAAGTACCGCTGGAGAGCAAAAATGACAAATACGCGGATTTGAAGGCTTTTATGATGACAATAAAACAACCTCCTGTAACCTGTAGGCAGAATACATTTAGTCAAAGATGCATTTATAAAAGGCGATCATCTTAACAGCAGTTTGATGTGCTTCACATACAGTGATGCACAGACACATCTCAGGCTGAGGCTTTCTTACAGGGAGACTTCCAGCCATCTGTAGCTGGTGGCTCACTAACCATAACAGCCTGCCATTGGTGCTGAACTTGGCAGCCAAAGCACCCAAGTGTTAATGACAGGACACCAGCACAGAAAGATGCTATCTTCCAAAAAAGCACTTTGGGCTTCTGCTTCATCTCCGTTTTATTTTCTTCACAGAGCTTTTGATTCATCTGAAGCTTGAGAAACAGTAACTTGCAGGAGCAGTTCTGAGGACAGTTGGGCATTGAGCTGCATGTTGGAGCGGCACAGTGAGCAAAGTGACCACCTCAAGCAGATTTTGGAAAGCACCAGGAAGGGAGGGTGATACAGGTGAAGTATCCTCCAGTGTGAGGTGCTGAGTGGAGCAGTCACTGTCATTTTGAACACAGAGCCTGTCAAGACTGAATTTTATGTGGAACAAGCTGGTTTGTAGTCACAAGTACAGCCAGAGGACGAAGGAGAAGCAAGTGGCAAAGAGTGAAGAAAACCAGGCAGTGGAAGGGAAGGTTCAGCTGCTTGCGTTTAAGGTTAGTGTACCTGTTAACTGTGGGGCAGGCTAGAAAAGAAGCATTTCAGAGCCATGCAAGATGTTCACAGTCTCTTAAGTGACAGCTGCCATTTCTGTTGGAGTAGGGTTTCAAAATCATGACCACTGGAGTTGCTGTTGTGAAGGATATTGCGTGCAAGTGGAGTGGTTTCCTTCAACTGAAGCAAAACCCACAGCATTTCATTAGCTTCTTTTCTCTCTTCTTTACTCTGTGTGATCTAATGTGGCAGTAGGGATGCTGGAAACATTTTTAAAAAGAAAGACAGAAAAAGGATATATTCACAAAACAAAAATGCATCATGAGCTATTAACTAAAACTCATCTCTAGCTGTCTGTGTAAGAACCCCGGAGGCAAAAGGAGTTTTCTGTGGTCTTTTTTTTTTGTTCTTATATGCTGCTTTTGGGTATCCTTTATTGGCTTCTTAGGCAGGACACTGAGTCAGGTGTGTTCTACTCTCTCTTTTCTTATACCCTTATATTCACTTGTTCTTGGCAGTTCATTGGCATGTGCACTATTGGTAGTCCCATCGTCTTGGACCAGTGTTGGTCATCCTGGATCTGTAAGATGATACAGCCTTACCTCTATGACATAGTTAATATGCACCAGAAGTGCAAATCTACATGTTGGCAACTGAGTTACTGGCAGGCATGTCACAAATTGCCCTTTGAGTCACACTGCCGTCTGTAATACAGAAATTGAGGTAACACAAAGTCTGACAAAATGTCTGTTCTGCTGAACAAACCATTTGCTTTTATGAAGTTGGGCCCATTATTAATCCTTCTGGCTTTGAGGGAAGAGACAGGAAAACACAGATCAGAGTTACTTCAAGTGTTATGTTGACAGGCAGGAAGGCAGACAGGGGGAAGAGCAAGACAGAAGGGAGGAGCTTCTGTAGAGGGAGTCAAGAAAGATGCAGAAATTCCCTCACAGCATGTTTGGGGCCTTTTCATTGACATCTACATGCGATAGCGTGCTGGAGGTCATTCTGGAGTGACCTCCTGTCTTATCCAGCCAGCTTCAGCATTGGTTATGGATTCAAACTGTAAAGGATATGTGCCTTGTAATGTACAGCAACGCGTGCTTTCAAGGCAGGTTTAGCTAGCATCCACCCACAAACACGAGCCATTACTCACAGGCACAGTACAGTGTAGACGTACCCTGAATCACCTCCATCACAGAAGCTTGTAAAGAAGCTTGCAGAAGCTTGAGTTAGCCATTTAGCTTTTAATTTAGCAGAGCAACAAATATTCATTAGAAATATTGTCAGAGTTTTCTTTCACTAAGATTCTTCTTAAACACTTCCACTCTTGCCAGTTGCTCTTCACTTCTGTATAACTCAGAATTATTTGACAGACATAACTTACAAAAAACCATGAAGTAAACATGAATTTCCTCTTATTCTGGTCCTTATGTAATTAGGTTCATCAATTTCAAATGCCAGCTTTTTTTTTTGTTTCTTGCAAGAATGTACTTTTATCTCTGACTGGTGATCCCTATGAGGTCAGTTCTGCTGGAGAACCAGCTGAGGCTGTCGGGGGAAAAAAAGGCTTGCTTCTACTCTGTATTTTTTGGCAGTGGCAGAAGAGGAGGAGAAGAATGGTAATAGCAAAGGACATAGCATTAGGAAAAGCTAAATGTTGTTTTGTAAAACCACAAGTTTCCTATTATGACTACCAGTATTTGAGTTTAAAATCCTTGTTCTATAAAAATGTGATTCTGGTGTTTACATCTCTCAAATTAACAGACTCAGCCAGGAGCGGGTGGTTGCTTTGCAGGCTGTCTTTCAATAACAGCCTGTTGGAAGCCCATGAATCACAGGCTGAGCAGCACTCATCTCTAGCAGAGCTGTTTTAACCCTGTAACTGAAGGTTAATTAGAAGATGAAACTCAGGTCGGCTTGATGTTTTCCTTTTTCTCCTTGGTTATGAGGGGTTCTTCTGTTTGCTGTTGTGGTTGGTTGGTTTTTATTTCAGTAGTTCACTCATGCAGACATCACATGTGGGTTTTTAAATATTGTGTAAGAAAAACATCTATTCATGTCTTCATTGTGTTACAGGGAAAAATATTGTTCTCTGTATAACACTGGGCTAAGAAGAATCTAGGTATAAGTTCTTCTTTTCTATGACCTAGATAAGATTTTGTACCCTTATCAACAGTGAGATTGTTGGCTCAAGAGCACCATGCAGAGAGTAGCAGAACTAATACCTGCTTGGGTAAGTACAGGCATAGGTAAACTTGGCAGTGGGCAAAGGAAAGGAATGCATAAAGGCCAGGTAACAGAGGCCTTGTGGCCTCAGATGAGAAAGAAGAGGTGAGCTTTTCCTTTGCCATAACAGATGTTTGTGTTATATTTAAATTACTGTAGCAATATGGCCATATATTACAGCATGAAGGGCTTAGTCAAAACAGGGCATCACAGGAAGGAGAACTGTGGTGAACACCCAGCCTCACTGAGCTGTTATTTCCCTGTGAATAATGAATGGCTTAGATGAAAATATCAGGTCAGATAGGCTGATTCATAGAGAATTATGCTTGTTCCTCAGACCAGAGGTTTTGGAAGGGGTTGAAGTGAGCACCTGCTTTGATGAAGTTAGAGCTGATGCCATTTGCTATGGCAAGTAGTACAGCAAATTTTAAAGCATGGAAGAAACTGATTCAGCAAAAAAAGTGCTGAGTTTTGTATATTGTATTAGGAGTAGAATGAACAGCTTACGTACAAAGGAGGCCTTAGGGAAGGTTATCACAACAGTTTTCTATTGCAGCTATGTGATCTGAAAGCTGCACAGGGCTTTGAGTTTTATTCACGTGGCCTGTAAAATGCACTGTATATCTATGGCAGTCCAAAGCCTTTCTTAGTTGGTTTGTGCATCTGGGTTGTGCTAGAAAGCTCAATTATGTCCTTTCATGTTCCTCACGCAACAAAGGATGGCACTCTTAAAAGTGAAGATTTCTATCCACATATGTTCACATCTGTCCACTTCAATTAGAAATTTATTTTCTGATCCAGCTTACTGCTACTGCGCAGTAGATGTTGAGTCCAAAAATTCTCTTGATGGCATGTGTATTATAAGGCATCATATGCTATTATAAGGCATCGTATGCATTCCTCTGATTTAAATAGCATTGCAGAAAAAACAAGCGCAGTGGTGGTGTAGCCACTAGAAAGTTACTGACTTCCACAGTTGTTCCAGCTCTGTTACATATTTGCAGTAACTAACTGCACCTTTTGCAGCTGGAATAAGCATTAAAACCATGAAGCTCACATGGCTGCTGAGAATCAGCAAAGCCTCGAGTGTTTCCTTGTAAGCATAGTTTATGAAAACACCTCAAAATCTGAAAGCAAGGCAGTTTGTACTGATTCTGTATCTGTAGTGTTTTGACTTTTTTCATTCTTTCAGAAGTGTTTGTCAGAGGGGAAAGTTGAACTGTTAGTCATATTCCCTACATTAGAAATAGAACAGATTGTATCCATTTGGGTAAATCCATTTCTTTCAGTTTCACTCTGCCACTGAGTGCAGCCTGGGCCTCGCTGCACTGTGGCTGCTCTGACCATGACCCCTGTTTGGATTTCTGGGAAGGAGAGCCCGGGATGTGCAAAGGATCCTATACTTCTTTAATTGCAGCACTGTCAGGCTTGTCATGCTTTGATCCAGCTTTCTCTGCTTTTCTAACTGTTCATGTCTGAGCCACTGGCAAAAAACCAGCACTCACATTCTTCAGAACCAGATTTCAGTCTTTCTTCCCTAGCACATAGGATTTGAAGCTCCTCTGCTGTTACTCCAGGAAAACCAGCCCTGTTTGCTCACATCCCTGCTCTGGACACCCAGCTGTGTGCTGTGCTGCCGTTCCCTTGGGGGCTGCCTCTGCAAAGTGCTCATAGCTGGGCAGCGACATCGTGTGGCCCTGTGGGCCCCCAGCTGCATTTGGTCCTGCAGCAAAGAGGGCTTGAGAGCCAGGACACCATCTGAAAACCAACAGTGCATTGTGTTTAATTAGATAAGTGGCATTGTTGATGCGTTGGTCAGTTTTACAAAAGAAAAGAGTTAGACCTTGTTTCAGACACCCAACAGTATTGATGCTTCTGATGCTTTTTTTTTTTTCTTAACAACATGTTGGCTATATAAAAATATTTTCTAGTATTTTCTTTTTCACTGATGGTTCATGAACAATCTGCTGCAGAAAGAGGAAAATCACAGGAGTTGAACCTTCTATGAGAGGAAACTTTTTCTTCTAGTGTCAGTAATCTGAGACATTACATGTTGAAACACCATGTGAAAACATTACAACCAGACTGTGACTTCTTTACAGTGATAATTGTGCTTTATCCAGAATCTGCAAAAGTAAACATTTTTTTATTTATCAAATTGTTATAAAACTCTTCTACCCACCTTACTAAAGTTTAAAATCTTGGAAAAACAGAAAAAATATTGAAGAGAACAGATGTTAACACTGAAATTCACTGAGACAAAGCAAACAGCAAACTAATGGCCATTCCAAGATTATTTCTGCTGTTGTAGTTGTTTTTTAGACAGTCTTGGAATTATATCTAGGCTTTCCAGTTTGGGATTTTAATTTTCTGGATATTATTAAGTATCCAATAAACAGTACCTTGTATGAAAGATGCTCATAGATGATGCATAACACATAAACCAGACTCTTATGGTAATGGAAAGACTCTCATTAATTTCGCCAGATCACAGGCATAAAGGTCAGCACCTAACTTAGGAGATTCCCTTAGGGCCTGTGTGCATCTTCGGGGTATTTTGTTGTACAGCAATTCACACTTCTCCTTTGGGCCTAACTGGAATTCATCAGTGAAACCTGAAAACATAAACCTACTTACAGTATCTGAAGATATAAGCACAGAGCCCAGCACTGCTGTAACTGGTGGTGGTGGCAGAGTTTTCAGCAAAGGAGAGTCATGCTGAATTCTTAGAGCAAGACTTTGCTGTTTCAGGAAAGGAATATGAGAGGTATCT